AAGTTTTCTAAGGAGTCTCCACATTGATTTCCATAACTCATATAATATTGATAATGATGACTTTTACTACTTTGCTGGGGAAACAAGAAGTGTTGGGCATAAATGTTGGGTATAAAATGGTGTCTATGAGCCAGGCATGGTGGCATACACCTGGAATCCCAGCACTCAGGAGACAGAGGTAGGAGGATCATGAGTTCAAGGCCAATCCTTTGGGGACAGGGTCTCTGATTTTAAGGACCTCAGGGTCTTTGCACTGAGCCACAACTGTGCCCCTGCTTTTTCTGAGACAGAGTCTTTATATAGTCTAAGCTAGTCTTGAACTCACTGTGTAGCCTAAGCTGGCCTCAAACTCACAGCAATTCCCCTGCCTAAGGGGAATTAGGCAGTGAGGGAATTCCCTTCCCTAGTGAGACCCTGTCACACACACACACACACACACACACACACACACACTCACAAAAAAAAAAAAAAATTAGAGTCTATACTTGGACCAGATGGTACATACCTATAATCTTAGCACTCTGGGAACCTAAGACAGGAGAATCAGAAATTAAAGTTCAACTTGGACAAGTTAGGGACATAAAAATAAAAAATTTCAAAAGGGGCTACAAGCCAGTCATAGTGGCACATGCTTGTAAATCTAGCACTTGGGAGGCTGAGAGAGAGAAAGAAAGTATCTGGGCTAGATGTGATGATGCATGGATGCGTGCCTGCTTCTAGCACTCAGAAGGCTGAGCCAGGAGGATCACCGCAAGTTCAAGGCCAGCCTCAACTGCATAGTGAGCTTAAGGCCAGCGTGGACTGCATAAGGAGATCCTGTCTCAAAAAGCCAAGAAAAAAAGAAAGTATCTGTACCTGCTTTAGATGAGGTGATGGTGATCATGATATCTGTGACACCAGAGCAAAGAAAAGTATTGCAAATATGCCACCTTCACCTGTACTTGTCTATTTTTGTTTTAGGACATTGGGCTACACTATTTCTAGGGAAACCCAGAACCTGCAGGTGCCTTACTTCGTGGATAAAAACTTCGACAAGGCCTACAGAGGAGCTTCTCTTCGTGACCTAGAGAAGATAATAGAGAAGGATTACATTGATTACATCCAGACAAGTTGTTGGAAGGAGAAACAGCAGAGTAAGTAGCTTTTTCTGGGGGTTCTGATCCAACCATGAGCTATCCCCTACTTCCTGATGCCTCCTCTCTCCCAGTTTAGGTTTTATGTGTTTATATGAATAGAGACAGAGGGGAGATAGCTCAGTAGAATAAGCGCTTGCCCGGCAAGCAAAGGGTCCTGAATTCAATCCCTGGTACTGCAAAAAAAAAA